GTGATCCGACTTTTGCAATTGAGACCCAGTTAAACATGAGAATAAACGGTAAGACCCCTGAAACGCCTCCATTGGACTCCTTTCTTTACTTCCTCAACATAATGACATCACTATGGAACATTCACATTTGTATTGGCTATAGCGCTCCAACACATTGTACGTGATAGGCTAAGCGGCGGGACATCTCTAAGCGGTGGACCAATCACAACAGAGCCGGCCAGCTATGAAGAAATAAGGCACTTTTTTAAAACAACTTTGAAGATTTCAGGATGAATCATTTAGGCTATGATCTGATTAAATAACAACACATTTAGCAAGTTACAAACTAGAACATGTCAATGAGTGGAGTCACAGTCATAGTGACCCTTTCTCACATTTAGGGAGGAAGAGGTCAGAGAGAGGATGTGACGTGTGATATTTCCAGTAAAATATTAGATTTCACCCGATTACATAAGATAAGGAGGAGCAGGTAGCCTCTCTCAGGGTCTTTGCTCGAGGGCACAACAACAGGACACCTGAGACAAAGTTAGTCTGCAACATGAGAATAGAGTGATAACACTGTAAACTCCTTTAATTAATAGCAGCTGTGAGATTCAAACACGTTTCTGCTTAAAGATAAACAACAAGGAGAGTACATTAGAGAAATGAAAAGACATACATTAACTCAGCTGTTCAAGGATCGTGAGGCGAGTAGTTTTTGTGAAATGGGATGTTTGTGAACGTGAAGTGAAGCCGGGGGGATCTCTGTGAATCTGGATCAGCACCACACTGACCTCACAGTGGGACACGGGCCTCACAACGCTCTGAAACCAGTATCAGTGTGTGGGAAAAGCAGCAGGTCCTCTTGTTGTTGTGGGCAGCAGAGAGACTTCCAGTGGGTGAAGTTGTAAAGTGAAATTCTGCTTCAGTATTTCACACTGTAAAAACTAAACAGTACATGTTTTAAAGGTCCACTGTTTTTCATCAATCAATTATAAGCCTCAGATTTATACAAAACATGTCTCTGAAGTGTTTGGCTCCAAACAGATCATTGCAGCATTACCCATAATAATCGTTTGAATTTCCACGATTCCGATTCTACTTCTCAATTCCGGTTCTTTGAACGTTCAGGGTACAAAAAGGATACAAGCTTCTTCCACCAAACAATTACATTTATTCGAGAAACCTTTACACAGGTTAGTTTCCAGTAATATTCACATTAATCAGTCTGTTTATATTCACTGCTAACTGTAACCTGAGAACCACTGAAGCTACAACAGTGCAACTTTTAAAGGAACCCCCCCCATTTAAAAACAGCTCAAGCATATCTGCCTCTCAGGCATACCGGGAGACATGTTTGAAAATTTTAAAGTAAAATGCTTCAATCTGGTGCACTTTGAGCAGAATGACTAGAGACTAGATCTAGGGGGTTCAACTCTACACACCCATATGACAAAGATCGGTTTACATTTTAATAATTAAATAAGTATGTGAGCATAACCCATAGCCAATAACAAATACATGTAACGTATTTTATTTTTGTTGTTCATTCATATCTTATTTTATAAATGCATATTTTTGTATCTCTCCAGTTGAAAACGATATGTCTGGGTCACTGTCCTATAGTAAACATTGGAATGATTTCAAACATGTTTGATCCCAATCATTATAAAGGAGTGCCTTGGAAATATGTGTTTACATTGTGATCAAACCGTTTGAGACCTACTGAGATAACTTAGACTAAAGTGAACTATCCTCAGGGTTGTCTCAGGTTGGTCTGAGTATTTCATTTGAATTGCATCATGGGAGTTTAGTTGTCACTGTTTTTGATAAAGGTCTGTCTCAAATTGAATGTGCAAAAACCAATTTGATGTTCATTATTGTTGTTTTATGTGTTTTACAGAGAGGACTATATGATGATGGATGTTACCCAGGATGCTTTGCATATGAGGTGAGTGAGCTAATTATTTTGCGCTTTTTAAAATGATCATTATCAGATACATTTACACAGGTTTGAATTTGCGTTTTAACACTTGAATTAATTCAGTATGATATTGCTTAAAAATATTAGTGAAGGGAGAGTCAGAGTCGTATCGTGTGTGTGTGTGTGTGTGTGTGTGTGTGTGTGTGTGTGTGTGTGTGTGTGTGTGTGTGTGTGTGTGTGTGTGTGTGTGTGTGTGTGTGTGTGTGTGTGTGTGTGTGTGTGTGTGTGTGTGTGTGTGTGTGTGTGTGTGTGTGTGTGTGTGTGTGTTGTGTGGTGTGTGTGTGTGTGTGTGTGTGTGTGTGTGTGTGTGTGTGTGTGTGTGTGTGTGTGTGTGTGTGTGTGTGTGTGTGTGTGTGTGTGTGTGTGTGTGTGTGTGTGTGTGTGTGTGTGTGTGTGTGTGTGGTGTGTGTGTGTGTGTGTGTGTGTGTGTGTCCCGCTGCTTCTCCCCGCGCTTCCACCCGTCCTTTTTCCCCTTCCCCTCCCCTCTTTCTCCCCCCACCCCCCCCCACCCCCCCCCCCCCCCCCCCCCCCCCCCCCCCCCGTTGTGTTTTCAGCTCTCACTTTGTGTGAGGCTCGTTATCAAACAGAGACGAGACTTATTATGTAAAACAACTCCCTTTCTCACCCTCTCTGTGTTTCTCTGTGTCGTCTGACAGACTTCCACATGCTCTTATTTTGAAAGTCGTGGTACTTTAAAAAACATTAGGCTTCAGTAAAGGCGCTTTGTAGATGTGTTATTCCCTTTGAACTTTATAAAATGTTACTATAGACGTGATATGGCGGCCAAAAGTCTGTAGACATCCATTTGTCTTTGTCTTCCCTTATTTCCAGTGAACAGTAATATTATTATCTTTTTCATTTGCATTTTTAGAAGTTTACAGGGAATAAACAACAAAACAAAATGCAGTTCAAACTATAGCGCATGCAAAAGGAGGGTAGAGAAAAGGTTGGACATCAATTTATAGGATTATTATAACAGATAACAGAACAAAATGTATTCTCATGTGTACATTAATTGTCATATTCAACCCTAAGGTCATTAGTCATGTTTTGTGTTGTATACTTCTCTAATTCTCTCATATGTTGTCGAAGTTAGATCCTTCCATTTAAAGTGTATTAGCTCATCGTCTGTTGACCAATTGCCTGTCATTTGAAACCTCAATACTTTTAGACAACAGAGTGCTTTCTCTTAGTCGCAACAGTTTGGGAAAAACTCTCTTTTTTCAACGTGACAACGAACCCGCGCACAAAGCATTGTTCCTTAAGAAAACGCTTTGCCTTTTTTTGTGAAAGAACTTGAGCTCTGACCTCAACACCTTTTGGGGTGAACAGGAAGTGGAGTAAATTAAGGTTTTTGTGGAAAGCCTCACTAAAAATGGAGGTTGTTGTTTCAGCAGATTAATGCTTCAATCACATGTGGGTATTGTGGGTCAGGTCTGCAGGTGTAATTACGCTTATTCAGCTCATATAATGGTCAGGTGTCCACATACTTTTGGCCATATAGTGTTTGATACTATCATTAAATCACTTGGCTTCTGGCAAGCTTCCATCTGCTTTTATTTTGAAAGTTTGGTGACTAAAAAAGCAGTGAAAAGTGCTTTGTAGTTATTTTTCCATATGTAATAATGAGATGATTAAGGACCTAATCAGCTGTCCACACGCTTCATATAGTGTGTGTTACTATTATATCCCAGAGTTGTGGGAGTCAAATGACTTCTAACAAACTTCCACCTGCTTTTATTTTGAAATTTTGGTGACTGAAAAAGCAATGGTTTTCTGTGAAAGTGCTTTGTTGGTCTTTTGTTATTCTTCAAAATATGTATGTAACAAAGAGATAAATAAAGGCTTAGTCAGCTGTCCACATACTTTTGTACTTTCATATAGTCTTTGATATGTTGGCCACAAATCACTTGGCTTCTGACAAGCTTCGATCTGCTTTTATTTTGAAAGTTTGGTGACTAAAAAAGCTGTGTGTTTCTGAGAAAATGCTTAGTTACTGTAGTATTTTCTTATACTTCAAAATAGATATATGTTACAAACAGATGAATAGTCAGCCACACATTTCTCTGTCAAATGACTCGTTGGCTTCTAAAATACTTCCATCGGCTTTTATTTTGAAAGTCTGGTGACGGAAACGCAATGGTTTTCTGGGAAAGTGCTTTGTAGGTCTTTTGTTATTCTTCAAAAATATATATGTAACAAGGAGATGAAGTAGGATTTAGTCAGGTTTCCACACACTTTTGGCTCTATAGTGTCGGTTACTATTAAATCAAAGAGTTGGCCACAGATTACTTGGCTTCTAACAAGCTTCGATCTGCTTTTATTTTGAAAATGTGATAACTGAATAAGCTGTGTGTTTCTGAGAAAATGCTTTGTGACTGTAGTCTTTTCTTATTCTTAAAAATAGATATGTAACAAGCAGATGTATTAGGACTTAGTCGGCCACAATTACTCTGTCAAATGACTCGTTGGCTTCTGACAAACTTCCACCTGCTTTTATTTTGAAATTCTGGTGACTGAAAAAGCAAAGGGTTTCTGTGAAAGTGCTTAGTGGACTTTTTTCTTTGTATTCTTCAAACTATATCTTAGAGAAATGTCACAAAGGGATGAATTAGGACTCAATCAGGTTCCACATACTTGTTGCCCTATACTATAGTATATGTTACTATTATTATATATTATTATTATACATCCCAGATTAGGCCAAAAGTTAGCATCCAATTGTATGAACCACCAAGCTCTAACAATCTTTCACGCAACATTCAGAAATGTAGTTTGTTTTTTGGACATGAATCGATTAAAAAAACATTAAATTATTACATTTTAAAAAACATTTAAGGTGTATTTAATCAGATTTGAGTCCAAAAAGACATGAAACGGTTGTCACAATGTGTAATGCGAGTCCAACATTTAAGAACAGCAGGTCATGTAAATCATTCAGTATCTGGAGGGAGGTTTTTTTCTGCACATTGGCTAATAGGAGGGAGGAGTGTGTGTGTGCTGTGGGAGGAGACAGGGCGGAGTGTGTGTCCCCCTCACCCTGTGCATGGCAGGGGGAGGGGGAGAGAGAGAGAGAGAGAGAGAGAGAGAGGATTTGTGGCATCTACTTTGTCAGCTGTCATTAGGCGCAGATGACACACGAAGGTAATCTGGCAGAGAAAAAGAGGGGAAATACAAAACGAGTGTGTGATTGAGTGCCGTGTGTGTGTGTGTGTGTGTGTGTGAACTGCTGTGTTGCTTGTGTGTGTGTGGTGTGAAAACCAGAGCGTCCGCCCGGCCGGCATGGGATGGATGGTCGGCCGGATCTGGACTGGTTATGGACTGGTTTAACCAAAGCAGAAGTAAGTGACTTGATTTTATTTTGAAAAACAGATTTAAAGGGCCGGTACTATAACATAGAGCTGTGTTTACTCCTGAAGGAAGTCTTTAACTGAGTTTGTAGTTGATTGTGTATGCACCATACTGTTTACTAACAAAACTGAAATGAAGCAAACTTTAACTATAAGAAAAAACATTATAAACTTTAAAAAATAGTGCTTTTGTTAAAACACCTGTAAGTCAATTTGGGATCCAACCATGTGAGGGGCTGATGTTTTGTTTACTTCTAAAAAGACAACATGTTTTAGTATAAATTGTTCAAATATGTTATGTTTATTTAATTTAAATCATTCAAATGGACTATTACAATACATATCTCAATATTTTGAACGACATCTTATTATTTGTATTATATTTTTTGACTTCTCATTTAGTGACTTGTCCATACATGTTCAAATGTCAAACCCCCTCTTTTACATACAGTATACATAACACAGGACAAAGATAAAAGCCTTCAATTCTGTTAATTCGTTTAGCATTTTAATTCGGAATAACAAGTATTATATAATCATGTAACAATGTATTACCAGTACGAGTTTTGATGCTCACAGTATGCAAAACTCTCTTAGTCAGAGTTGGACTTTGAGCTGTCGTGTATTATTGTGGTTTTGACTCAGTGTGTGTGTGTGTGTGTGTGTGTGTGTGTGTGTGTGTGTGTGTGTGTGTGTCTGTGTGTGTGTCTGTGTGTGAGTATGTGTTGGGGAGGAGTCGTTATGAGTGACACACACACACACACACACACACACACACACACACACACACACACACACACACACACAGAGTGCACAGTCAGCAGGCCTGTTGCTGCTCTGTCACCTGAGGTTTAACAGCCAACTGTTTACTCAGTTCTCCGTGGTTCAATAACAACTGTTGTTAGCACTCATTCAGAAAGAAACAGCTTCACGTCATGTGCAGCGAACAATTCAACAGAAAGCCAAAGTCAACCGGCAACGTTTTCACAGCTTTTACAAAGTCAGAGTTTCACAATGATGATGTTAACACTTATAGATAAATACGAAGTGGGAGAAGTCTTTTATGGACACACTTAGTAAGACGTTTGTTCTGTGTTATTCACTGTTTGCCTACAAGAGTATTTACACAGGACACAAGAATGCATGTGTTTATCCAGCATCTGAAAGCATGACTTATAGCCCTCAGAGGTAACCAAATTATTTGTCAGTATGCCTAAAAACAGACTCTATTTTGGAGCCATTTTTGTCTGAACACACTGATATAAGATCCTTAATGTACTCGCTGCAGAAACAGGGGTTTTACGAAGTCTCTCAGCTGTGACTGTATGTTAATGTTCTCACTGCAGATAAGTAGATCAGGGAGTTGAAGGTGGAGTTTGACCCGAGGCCAGTTAAACAATGTAACACTCAGCAGTATTCTTGCTTTCGTTTCTTGTTTTAAAAGCTATACTCATCATATCAGTTAATTGAACTCCCATTCGTTTAGTCACCCATGTCCGATACAAGATGTATTGGCATCTAACTTGTCAGTGTATTACAGGATATCATTTATTAACACAAAGGAACTTTAATTTGTGGTATTGGTGTACAAAATGTGGCATAAAGTCGTGTTATCATGGTTTCTGGTGTTGAGAAATACAACCTAGATGTTCATTTTGGGTCTCAATACCACACATAACCGTTATCTATCTAAGTCAATGTTACGCCAAGTTTCTTTTCTCAAAGTGTCGTAAGTAAACTGATTAGTTAGCTCACTGTACTGATAAATGCCCATTGTAAAGAAAGGTCTAACACGTTTATTTTAATCGTATTGTCCTTAAACTGAGAAGCTTGATATGAAACTTGAGGGTAGAGCACATAGTTTGAAATCACTCTCATGAGTTGTGTCCCTAGTTGGCCGCTGTTGAATGTTGTAGCACATCACTTCAGCTGCTACACAGAGCATGATGAGATAGTGTCTCCGACTATAAACAAAGCCCCCCCCCACTTTTCAAATTCTTTCTCGGGCTGTACAAGCTTAACTGTGACTGCCTGACTGCTACACACAAGCATGTGGTTCAGTAGTTTTAGTTTAGTGCTGTTTTATAAAATACAGTAGCTCTGTATTTGTTGTTAAGTTCCTCGGTCTGATGAACACAGTGATTTAAGTGTTTGTTTTACTGCTAGTTTGACTTATGTTCAGTGTGTATTTGCAACATAAACATATAGTGGGTGTGTGTGTAACAAAACAATACAACCTACCTTGTTTTATATTAGTGTAACTTGGAGTTACAGTAACAATGAACAACAGACAAACTGTACTATTTTAATGAGTTACCTTACATTAGCCCCTGTTAGCTAGCTATGCTATTGCTGTTAGCAAACACATGTTAACTTAAACTGATGATTTAGCTTAGCATAGCCATTGTTAGCTAGCTAATGCTTTTAGTAAATAAATGTTAACCTAAGTTTATAAGTGTGTGTGCTCATAACAATAACACTTATACAAACTTCATATTTTGATATAACTTTACAAATATTACAGGAGGTTACAGCAAACAACTCCTACAAACCTAATGAGTTGGCTTAAATATGCCCCTATTAGCTAGCTATGCTACTGTTGTTAGCAAAAACATGTTAACTTAAACTGATGATTTAGTTTAGCATAGCCATTGTTAGCTAGCTAATGTTGTTATCCAAGAAACGTTAACTTATGATTGAACGGTTACACAAAATATTTAACTTTTTTTCTCTGGTTGTTGTGCTTATGTTAACATGCATTTACTACTGTCATTAGCATAGTCAGCTAACATTAGCAAACTCATAGGGTTAGTACAAGTTATTTGCTGGTTAGTGTTATGTTACCATTTCTACTGATCATAATTCCATTGTTGAGGTCTACTAGAATACATTTACATTGTTCAATGTTCCAAACTCACATTGGTTTCTCAAACAGCATCTCTGTATAGTATGTGTATTCACTCTCTGTCCTAAACGGCTTGTTGGAGCTCCTGCCCCCCCTCCCTGTGAGCCCACTGTGCTCTGATTGGTCAGCTCGCCCCCCCCACCACCGTTACAGCGGAACATCAGTGTTTATGTGTTACAATGTCGTTAGCAACCAGAAAATGACACCAGTAATGACAAACGGATAAAATCCAATCAGGTTTTATTTTTAGCACATTTTAAAAACGATTTTTGGTCGAGCCAAAGTGCTGTACATGCAAAATGAGATGAGAATGCTGCGTGGGGTCTGGGTGCCGTGTTGGCGGGGATGTTGCGCGGCTCGCTGCTGTGAGGAGGGGACAGTGTGAGCTAGCACCCGCACCCCCAAACGCGGCGCACCTACAGTGTAAGCGCGCCACAGTTTCGCCCCCCCCCTCCACGGATTGGACCAATGGGTCCATTTGGGTATGGGCACGTCACTGTACCCAGGAAGAACAAAATGGAAAAATAAAAAGGCCTTCTGGGGCAGCACAGACAGGTCTTTTCTGTGTTAGAGTTTTACTCGCTACAGGGTGCACTTTGAGGGTTTGTGACTCTGCAGACCGCTTACATGCAGAAAAACCTTCATAACACAAGGGGACGGGTGATAACCGGAAAAGCATGACATGGAACCTTTAACACTCTGAGTTTGTTACATCATAATATTAACGTTATACTGTTTAGCTTAGCATAATGTCAATGTATTATACATCCTCTCAGTAAGCTACTTTATTAATTGACGATTAGCATGATAAAAAACGTAACTGTGCAATATAATTTGATTGCATATGTAAACATTATTTATTGATAAGTAGAGCAATAAACATTCGTGATTTTTCATTTTAACACACGTGATAAAACACATGATTTTCCACGTTGGGTCCCGAGCCTGGAGCTCTGCTGCGGGACACTATTGAATCTGACATGTGCTAATCAGTGTAGGAAAATTGGATTGGGTGTTTGTTTTTCACATGGAAGAGTATCGAGGATGTGTTTCTTTTCGTGTGTGTGTGTGTGTGTGTGTGTACACTAATTGAGTTAGCATCTGGGCAGGCATGTTCAATGCTATTGATTCCGGTCTATAATGGATCTGGCTGTCACATTACAGTCATGAAGCTGCACATAGAGCATCTTGCAAACAAGCTTGTAAAGTTTACAATCTGTTTTGTCTGTGGTTCAAGCCACTAATCTTTGGTGCTGAAGTCATTGTGCTGGATAATGATTTTTGGGGATTTTCTCTTGATCCAGTTATTTTAAGTGGTGCTTTCTTGTTGTTTTGAAAGGTAATTATATACATGTTTTGGGTGATTTTAAACAAAAGTCCAATTTAGAGTCGTCATCCAACACCATATGGATCATTTCTACTGAATTAAATCATGAAAACATGTTTTTATTTTGCTGTAGCTTCAACTAATGCTAGCAATTTTGATAAAAGCATTTAGAAGTAGAGAAAACTAGACATTTTTGCAATTAAACAATGCTCATGTGACACTAAATCATTACCACTTTTAATTTTGCTGTTATTCAATTATCAATTAGTCTTTATTTGTTGAGGCGAGGACGGATGGGGGTTTTCTGGTTTGCCAATAAAGGCAATTGGTTTACAGTAAGTGGGTCAAATGTGTACAGCTTGAATTTTACGGCGACTCACTTCACAGCACACAGAAAGGCGTTTGCTTTCCATTCCAACACGCTGGTGTCAGGAGTCTCTGGAAGCTTTGACAGCAATTCAATTTAAAAAAAGACCAACAAGCTGCCAGGTGGCGAGAGAGACGCCACTGCTTTGTTGTCATGATGGCAGAATTTGGGATTTTCGGCACAAATCGGCTGATCAAAACTCCCTGCTTCTGAACATTACAGAGGCATTAGAAGTGTCTCTAGAGAGTATAACTTCCAACTCATTGGTGTCAGCCAAAAATATTAGGTATCCGGTTTTCTGTTGTGGTTTAAACTTAAAGGGGACCTATCATGCAAAATGCGCTTTTTGATGTCTTTTATTCATCAACATGTGTCCCCGGTGTGTCGGGGAA